CTGTGCCTCTTGGGTTCCCAGACTTACAGCCTCCTTTGTGAAGCCACTGTGAGACAAAGCGCCAGAGCTGAATCGGCATCAGCAGGTAGCTCACCACGGCCAGGATGAACTTAAGCTTGCTGGACCAGAGCTGACGGGGAAGGAAGACGTCACTCTCTTCCCTGCTCATATATCTTGTCTCCTCTGAGGTTGTCACAGTCCCTTCTTTTGTGGCACTGGGCTTAGGTTGTGGGCCACCTCTTACCTGAGCCTCCAAAGCATGGGTCTCCCAGGCCCGAGCCTTTGCCACCCGGGTCTCTGAGACTGCGGCCTGTGTGTCCCAGGCTGACACACACCAAGTTAGGATCCCACCTTCCCATTCCTCAGTGTTCGACTCCAGCTCGGAAAGTCTTGTGACTGTGGATAAGTTTTGTTCAACCAACGACTCTGAAGCATTTATTGAGGAAGACTCTGGAGGCGCTTCCTCTAGAGAAGCTTTTGCTTTGGCGAGGGGAGGGACCCCTTCCCCTTTCTCTGTGGACCTGAAAATCAGAAGCCACAGATCTTAGGAGAAACCAGGGCTCAGTGAGTTCCAAACTCTCTCAAAGGAGAATTTCATTTCTACGCTCTCCGCTTACTGACGTTCAAAACACATACATCACAAACACCACATACATGCCATGCAAACATGTATCACCCAAACAGGCCCCACATATAGCATACAAACATATCGTGTACCTTAGACAAACACGTATCACACTCTCATATACTGCACACAGGCACCACACGTGACACACACGTGCACCACACGTGACACACACAGGCACCACATTGATACACACATGAACAACATGTGACACACAGGGCGCCACACGTGATGCACATGCACACACCACATGTGGCACGCACGCACGCACACACCACACATGACACACACAGGCACCACACGTGACACACATGCACCACACGTGACACACACATGACACACATGCACCACAGTGACACAGGGCACCACACGTGACACACAGGCACCACACGTGACACACATATGACACACACATGCACCACACGTGACACACAGGCACTACACGTGACACACAGGCACCACACGCGACACACACAGGCACCACATGTGACACACACGACACAATGCACCACACATGATACACACGCACCACACGTGACACACACATGCACCACACGTGACACACATGCACCACACATGTCACACACGGGTGCCACACATGACACACAGGGCGCCACACATGACACACACGGGCGCCACACATGACACACACGGGCGCCACACATGATGCACACGCACACACCACATGTGGCGCGCACGCACACAGCACACATGACACACACAGGCACCACACGTGACACACGGGCACCACGCATGACACACACAGGCACCACAGGTGACACACGTGCACACGGGCATCATCACCCTCACATGCCTCACAAACACATACACGCATGTACTATATCCCACACCCATACCATACCAACATGTGCCATACACACAAGCAGCACCCACAAATGCCTTAGCACACTCACACATAAACATGCTCATGTACTCATATGCACCATACCCACCCACCACACACACATTTCTTATATGATTTTTTTACTTCTTCAAATGTTTTAACACAAAGGACAGGGGTTGGGGGAGCTACAGTTAAGAGGCAGAAAGGTGGGAACCACACTAAGGATTTCTGGATATAGAGGTAGACACCCTGCAAAGCTCACAGTGGCTTCCACTAGAAACCTCAGTCTTCAAGAGGCTGAGGCAGGAGGACTGCCATGACTTTGAGGCCAGCCCTGGGCTATAGAGAAGGACAGGTAAGAAGGGAGGAGGGGAAAGGGAGGGAGAGAAGGAAGAAGAGAGAGAAGGGGGGGCTCTTCACAGTGGGCTTTGGTTTGCTGGTTTGTAAGAAAGGGGCTTCCTACGCAGCCCAGACTAGCCTGGAGCTGGTGATGCTCCTGCCTCTGCCATCTAAAGAAAGGCTTAGAAATGCCTGCTTTACCTCTGCAAGCCTTCCCCAGCTGTCCCGCTCCAGCTCAGCTCCTACAGTCTCAGAGGAGACTGACCTGCCTCTGTCTCAGAGGGCAGCTGCTCCCACCTCCCCACCCCTCATTTCTTCATGGCCTTCCTCTCTGCCTCCAGCTCCGCCCCCAACTCCCAAGCCAGAGGATGGTTCTGCACCTCATGTCTGGGGCCACTTTCCTCTTTGATCCTTGTGGTCCCGCCACTCTGACCTTTGTTGGTTCTTCGAATGCTCCACAGGACAGAGGACCAGGAATGTGCTGGGAAGGGAAACAGAAGTCTGTGAAGGAACAAACGCTGACTCGAGCAAGAGGCGTCAGGTTACTGGCGGTGGCTCAGCTTTAAGGCGCTTGCTCCTCAGAAGGAGGATCTGAGTTCAATCCCCGGGACCCACATAAAGGCCGGGCATGGTAGCATGTTTCCATCCCAGGATTAGGCAGATGGAGATCGAATCCAGCCTGCCCCAACTGGTAAAACGCTGTCTCGTGAAACAAGGTGGACAAGTTCTGAGGAAACACACGAGGTGGTTCTCTGGACTACACACAACTACACACACACACACATGAACAAATACATACACACATAAACACATATACACACAAAATCATCAATGGTTGCTAATACAAGATGGTCAAAAGCGGAATGCCGTGTCCTCCTGACATGATACACCAAGAACAAAAATGAATAACCAGAATGTATGTAGTCATGAGGAAAATCAGGTAACCCCAAATGTAGGAATACTTTATAAAAAAAATAACTGGTTAAAGGCTGGAGAGATGGCTCAGAGGTTAAGAGCATTGCCTGCTCTTCCAAAGGTCCTGAGTTCAATTCCCAGCAACCACATGGTGGCTCACAACCATCTGTAATGGGGTCTAGTGCCCTCCTCTGGCCTGCAGGCATACACACAGACAGAATATTGTATACATAATAAATAAATAAATGTTTAAAAAAACAAAAAATAAATAACTGGTTAATTCTTGTTTAAAACATCAACTCAGGGACCCATGGTCCTGCTAGCCTGAGTTCAATCCCCAGGACACACAGTGGAAGGAGACAACAGACACCTCCAACTTGTCCTCTGACCTCCATATTTTGCTGTGGCATGTGCACATATATACACACACAAAATAAATAAATAAATGTAATTTAATTTTTTGTTGTTGTTTTTTGAGACAGGGTTTCTCTGTGTTTTCTGACTGTCCTGGAACTTGTTCTGTAACCAGGCTGGCCTCGAAGTCAGCCCCTCATGGAACCTTCTCTAAAATTGATTGCATACATACTCAGTAACAAAGCAAACCTCCACAGATACAAAAAAAATTGGAGTACCCAATGTGTCTTATCGGATCACCATGGAGTAAAGTTAGAATTTAACAATACTACTCCCAGAAAGCCTACAAACCCATGGAAACACTACAGAAGGGGATCAAGGGGATTCAAATTGGAAAGGAAGAAGTCAAACTTTCATTATTTGAAAATGATGTGATAGTGTACATTTACGATAGACCCCAAAAACTCTACCAGAGAACTCCTACAGCTGATAAATACTTTCAGTGATGTGGCAGGATATAAGATCAACTCAAAAATATCAGTATCCCTCCTATACACAAAGGATAAAGAAGCTGAGAGGGAAATCAGAAACATCACCTTTCACAATAGCCACAAATAACATAAAATATCTTGAAGTAACACTAACCAAGGAAGTGAAAGATCTATTTGACAAGAAACTTTAAGTCTTTGAAGAAAGAAATTGAAGAAGACGCTAATGGAAAGCTCTCCCATGCTCTTAGGTAGGATCAACATAGTAAAAATGGCAATTTTACCAAAAGCAATCTGTAGAGTCAATGCAATTCCCATCAAAATCCCTACACAATTATTCACAGACTTTGAAAAAACAATAATCAACTTCATATGAAAAAACAAACAAACAAAAACACAACAGGATAGCGAAAACAATCCTGTATAATAAAGGAACGTCTGGAGGCATTACCATCCCTGACATCAAACTCTATTACAGAGCTACAGTAATGAAAACAGCTTGGTATTGCCATAAAAACAGAGATGTTGACCAACGGAATCGAATTGAAGACCTGGATATTAATCCACACACCTATAATCACCTGATTTTCAACAAAGGAGCTAAAATTATGCAATGGAAGAAAGAAAGCATCTTCAACAAATGGTGCTGGCACAACTGGATGTCAACCTGTAGAAGAATGAAAATAGATCCATATCTATCACCATGCACAAAACTCAAGTTCAAATGGATTATAGACCTCAATATAAATCTGACCACACTGAACCTGGTAGAGGAGAAAGTGGAAAGCAGCCTTCAATGCATGGGCACAGGAGACCACTTCCTAAATATAACCCCAGTAGCACAGACAATAATAGCAACAATAAATAAATGGGACCTCCTGAAACTGAGAAGCTTCTGTAAAGCAAAGGACACGGTCAACAAGACCAAAAGGCAGCCTCTTGAATGGGAAAAAAAATCTTCACCAACTCCACATCATACAAAGGATTTATCTCAGCCGGGCTGTGGTGGCGCACGCCTTTAATCCCAGCACTGGGAGGCAGAGGCAGGCGGATCTCTGTGAGTTCGAGGCCAGCCTGGTCTACACGAGCTAGTTCCAGGACAGGAACCAAAA